GCATTAGCATCTGTATACAGTCTGTGTTAGCATTAGCATCTGTATACAGTCTGTGTTAGCATTAGCATCTGTATACAGTCTGTGTTAGCATTAGCATCTGTATACAGTCTGTGTTAGCATTAGCATCTGTATACAGTCTGTGTTAGCATTAGCATCTGTATACAGTCTGTGTTAGCATTAGCATCTGTATACAGTCTGTGTTAGCATTAGCATCTGTATACAGTCTGTGTTAGCATTAGCATCTGTATACAGTCTGTGTTAGCATTAGCATCTGTATACAGTCTGTGTTAGCATTAGCATCTGTATACAGTCTGTGTAAGCATTAGCATCTGTATACAGTCTGTGTTAGCATTAGCATCTGTATACAGTCTGTGTTAGCATTAGCATCTGTATACAGTCTGTGTTAGCATTAGCATCTGTATACAGTCTGTGTTAGCATTAGCATCTGTATACAGTCTGTGTTAGCATTAGCATCTGTATACAGTCTGTGTTAGCATTAGCATCTGTATACAGTCTGTGTTAGCATTAGCATCTGTATACAGTCTGTGTTAGCATTAGCATCTATATACAGTCTGTGTTAGCATTAGCATCTGTATACAGTCTGTGTTAGCATTAGCATCTGTAAACAGTCTGTGTTAGCATTAGCATCTGTATACAGTCTGTGTTAGCATTAGCATCTGTATACAGTCTGTGTTAGCATTAGCATCTGTATACAGTCTGTGTTAGCATTGTCCATCTGTATACAGTCTGTGTTAGCATTAGCATCTGTATACAGTCTGTGCTAGCATTAGCATCTGTATACAGTCTGTGTTAGCATTAGCATCTGTATACAGTCTGTGTTAGCATTAGCATCTGTATACAGTCTGTGTTAGCATTAGCATCTGTATACAGTCTGTGTTAGCATTAGCATCTGTATACAGTCTGTGTTAGCATTAGCATCTGTATACAGTCTGTGTTAGCATTAGCATCTGTATACAGTCTGTGTTAGCATTAGCATCTGTATACAGTCTGTGTTAGCATTAGCATCTGTATACAGTCTGTGTTAGCATTAGCATCTGTATACAGTCTGTGCTAGCATTAGCATCTGTATACAGTCTGTGTTAGCATTAGCATCTGTATACAGTCTGTGTTAGCATTAGCATCTGTATACAGTCTGTGTTAGCATTAGCATCTGTATACAGTCTGCGTTAGCATTAGCATCTGTATACAGTCTGTGTTAGCATTGAGCATCTGTATACAGTCTGTGTTAGCATTAGCATCTGTATACAGTCTGCGTTAGCAATAGCATCTGTATACAGTCTGCGTTAGCAATAGCATCTGTATACAGTCTGTGTTAGCATTAGCATCTGTATACAGTCTGTGTTAGCATTAGCATCTGTATACAGTCTGTGTTAGCATTAGCATCTGTATACAGTCTGTGTTAGCATTAGCATCTGTATACAGTCTGTGTTAGCATTAGCATCTGTATACAGTCTGTGTTAGCATTAGCATCTGTATACAGTCTGTGTTAGCATTAGCATCTGCATACAGTCTGTGTTAGCATTAGCATCTGTATACAGTCTGTGTTAGCATTAGCATCTGTATACAGTCTGTGTTAGCATTAGCATCTGTATACAGTCTGTGTTAGCATTAGCATCTGTATACAGTCTGTGTTAGCATTATCATCTGTATACAGTCTGTGTTAGCATTAGCATCTGTATACAATCTGTGTTAGCATTAGCATCTGTATACAGTCTGTGTTAGCATTAGCATCTGTATACAGTCTGTTAGCATTAGCATCTGTATACAGTCTGTGTTAGCATTAGCATCTGTATACAGTCTGTTAGCATTAGCATCTGTATACAGTCTGTGTTAGCATTAGCATCTGTATACAGTCTGTTAGCATTAGCATCTGTATACAGTCTGTTAGCATTAGCATCTGTATACAGTCTGTTAGCATTAGCATCTGTATACAGTCTGTTAGCATTAGCATCTGTATACAGTCTGTGTTAGCATTAGCATCTGTATACAGTCTGTGTTAGCATTAGCATCTGTATACAGTCTGTGTTAGCATTAGCATCTGTATACAGTCAGTGTTAGCATTAGCATCTGTATACAGTCTGTGTTAGCATTAGCATCTGTATACAGTCTGTGTTAGCATTAGCATCTGTATACAGTCTGTGTTGGAGTAGAAAAGCCACGTTTCCCACGAGCCGCTCCCCTCTCAGCTGTTTCTCTGAACACACTCTGCTTTACTCCTGCTTTAGCCACTGCTCCACTTCCACTGCTTTGGTCTGACCTCTGACCTTGTTTGCTAGCTGCTTCAGTCAGTGTTGTAGTCCTTGTTTGCTAGCTGCTTCAGTCAGTGTTGTAGTTCTTGTTTGCTAGCTGCTTCAGTCAGTGTTGTAGTCCTTGTTTGCTAGCTGCTTCAGTCAGTGTTGTAGTTCTTGTTTGCTAGCTGCTTCAGTCAGTGTTGTAGTTCTTGTTTGCTAGCTGCTTCAGTCAGTGTTGTAGTCCTTGTTTGCTAGCTGCTCTTGTCAGTTGTAGTCCTTGTTTGCTAGCTGCTCTTGTCAGTTGTAGTTCTTGTGGGCTAGCTGCTCTTGTCAGTTGTAGTCCTTGTTTGCGAGCTGCTTCAGTCAGTGTTGTAGTCCTTGTTTGCTAGCTGCTTCAGTCAGTGTTGTAGTCCTTGTTTGCTAGCTGCTTCAGTCAGTGTTGTAGTCCTTGTTTGCTAGCTGCTTCAGTCAGTGTTGTAGTCCTTGTTTGCTAGCTGCTCTTGTCAGTTGTAGTCCTTGTTTGCTAGCTGCTCTTGTCAGTTGTAGTTCTTGTGGGCTAGCTGCTCTTGTCAGTTGTAGTCCTTGTTTGCTAGCTGCTTCAGTCAGTGTTGTAGTCCTTGTTTGCTAGCTGCTCTTGTCAGTTGTAGTTCTTGTGGGCTAGCTGCTCTTGTCAGTTGTAGTTCTTGTGGGCTAGCTGCTCTTGTCAGTTGTAGTTCTTGTGGGCTAGCTGCTCTTGTCAGTTGTAGTTCTTGTGGGCTAGCTGCTCTTGTCAGTTGTAGTTCTTGTGGGCTAGCTGCTCTTGTCAGTTGTAGTTCTTGTGGGCTAGCTGCTCTTGTCAGTTGTAGTTCTTGTGGGCTAGCTGCTCTTGTCAGTTGTAGTTCTTGTTTGCTAGCTGCTCTTGTCAGTTGTAGTCCTTGTTTGCTAGCTGCTCTTGTCAGTTGTAGTCCTTGTTTGCTAGCTGCTCTTGTCAGTTGTAGTTCTTGTTTGCTAGCTGCTCTTGTCAGTTGTAGTTCTTGTGGGCTAGCTGCTCTTGTCAGTTGTAGTCCTTGTTTGCTAGCTGCTCTTGTCAGTTGTAGTCCTTGTTTGCTAGCTGCTCTTGTCAGTTGTAGTTCTTGTTTGCTAGCTGCTCTTGTCAGTTGTAGTTCTTGTTTGCTAGCTGCTCTTGTCAGTTGTAGTCCTTGTTTGCTAGCTGCTCTTGTCAGTTGTAGTCCTTGTTTGCTAGCTGCGCTTGTCAGTTGTAGTCCTTGTTTGCTAGCTGCTTCAGTCAGTTGTAGTTCTTGTTTGCTAGCTGCTCTTGTCAGTTGTAGTCCTTGTTTGCTAGCTGCTCTTGTCAGTTGTAGTCCTTGTTTGCTAGCTGCTTCAGTCAGTTGTAGTCCTTGTTTGCTAGCTGCTTCAGTCAGTTGTAGTCCTTGTTTGCTAGCTGCTTCAGTCAGTTGTAGTCCTTGTTTGCTAGCTGCTCTTGTCAGTTGTAGTCCTTGTTTGCTAGCTGCTCTTGTCAGTTGTAGTTCTTGTTTGCTAGCTGCTCTTGTCAGTTGTAGTTCTTGTGGGCTAGCTGCTCTTGTCAGTTGTAGTCCTTGTTTGCTAGCTGCTCTTGTCAGTTGTAGTCCTTGTTTGCTAGCTGCTCTTGTCAGTTGTAGTTCTTGTTTGCTAGCTGTTCTTGTCAGTTGTAGTCCTTGTTTGCTAGCTACTCTTGTCAGTTGTAGTTCTTGTTTGCTAGCTGCTCTTGTCAGTTGTAGTTCTTGTTTGCTAGCTGCTCTTGTCAGTTGTAGTCCTTATTGCTAGCTGCTCTTGTCAGTTGTAGTTCTTGTTTGCTAGCTGCTCTTGTCAGTTGTAGTCCTTGTTTGCTAGCTGCTCTTGTCAGTTGTAGTCCTTGTTTGCTAGCTGCTCTTGTCAGTTGTAGTTCTTGTTTGCTAGCTGCTCTTGTCAGTTGTAGTCCTTGTTTGCTAGCTGCTCTTGTCAGTTGTAGTCCTTGTTTGCTAGCTGCTCTTGTCAGTTGTAGTTCTTGTTAGCTAGCTGCTGGCTCAGTTGTAGTCCCGTTAGCTAGCTGCTGGCTCAGTTGTAGTCCTGTTAGCTAGCTCCTGGCTCAGTTGTAGTCCTGTTAGCTAGCTGCTGGCTCAGTTGTAGTCCTGTTAGCTAGCTCCTGGCTCAGTTGTAGTCCTGTTAGCTAGCTCCTGGCTCAGTTGTAGTCCTGTTAGCTAGCTACTGGCTCAGTTGTAGTCCTGTTAGCTAGCTGCTGGCTCAGTTGTAGTCCTGTTAGCTAGCTACTGGCTCAGTTGTAGTCCTGTTAGCTAGCTGCTGGCTCAGTTGTAGTCCTGTTAGCTAGCTGCTGGCTCAGTTGTAGTCCTGTTAGCTAGCTGCTGGCTCAGTTGTAGTCCTGTTAGCTAGCTGCTGGCTCAGTTGTAGTCCTGTTAGCTAGCTGCTGGCTCAGTTGTAGTCCTGTTAGCTAGCTGCTGGCTCAGTTGTAGTCCTGTTAGCTAGCTGCTGGCTCAGTTGTAGTCCTGTTAGCTAGCTGCTGGCTCAGTTGTAGTCCTGTTAGCTAGCTGCTGGCTCAGTTGTAGTCCTGTTAGCTAGCTGCTGGCTCAGTTGTAGTCCTGTTAGCTAGCTGCTGGCTCAGTTGTAGTCCTGTTAGCTAGCTGCTGGCTCAGTTGTAGTCCTGTTAGCTAGCTGCTGGCTCAGTTGTAGTCCTGTTAGCTAGCTCCTGGCTCAGTTGTAGTCCTGAGTGACCCTGGAGGGGTGTGTGTGTCTCAGATGATGAAGTGACCGTGGGGAAGTTCTATGCCACTTTCCTGATACAGGACTACTTCAGAAAGTTCAAGAGGCGCAAAGAGCAAGGGCTGCTGGGACGCCGCTCCTGGGACCGGATCAGCACCGCCATGGCTCTGCAGGTACCAGCTGACACACAGGTACCAGCTGACACACAGGTACCAGCTGACACACAGGTACCAGCTGACACACGGGTACCAGCTGACACACCACAGGTACCAGCTGACCATAGGTACCAGCTGACACACGGGTACCAGCTGACACACCACAGGTACCAGCTGACACACAGGTACCAGCTGACCATAGGTACCAGCTGACACACGGGTACCAGCTGACACACAGGTACCAGCTGACACACGGGTACCAGCTGACACACCACAGGTACCAGCTGACACACAGGTACCAGCTGACCATAGGTACCAGCTGACACACGGGTACCAGCTGACACACAGGTACCAGCTGACACACGGGTACCAGCTAACACACAGGTACCAGCTGACACACGGGTACCAGCTGACACACAGGTACCAGCTGACACACGGGTACCAGCTGACACACGGGTACCAGCTGACACACGGGTACCAGCTGACACACGGGTACCAGCTGACACACGGGTACCAGCTGACACACGGGTACCAGCTGACACACGGGTACCAGCTGACACACGGGTACCAGCTGACACACGGGTACCAGCTGACACACGGGTACCAGCTGACACACGGGTACCAGCTGACACACGGGTGCCAGCTGACACACGGGTACCAGCTGACACACGGGTACCAGCTGACACACGGGTACCAGCTGACACACGGGTACCAGCTGACACACCACGGGTACCAGCTGACACACCACGGGTACCAGCTGACACACCACGGGTACCAGCTGACACACCACGGGTACCAGCTGACACACCACGGGTACCAGCTGACACACCACGGGTACCAGCTGACACACCACGGGTACCAGCTGACACACCACGGGTACCAGCTGACACACCACAGGTACCAGCTGACACACGGGTACCAGCTGACACACGGGTACCAGCTGACACACGGGTACCAGCTGACACACGGGTACCAGCTGACACACAGGTACCAGCTGACACACAGGTACCAGCTGACACACGGGTCCTGAGTGCAGTTTGTCCGACTGCGGTTTGTCCGACTGCAGTTTGTCCGACTGCAGTTTGTCCGACTGCGGTTTGTCCGACTGCGGTTTGTCCGACTGCGGTTTGTCCGACTGCAGTTTGTCCGACTGCGGTTTGTCCGGCTGCGGTTTGTCCGACTGCGGTTTGTCCGACTGCAGTTTGTCCGGCTGCAGTTTGTCCGGCTGCAGTTTGTCCGACTGCAGTTTGTCCGAGTGTGATGTCATCTGTGACCTGTGCTGCTGTCCCCAGGCCGGCCTCCGCACGCTGCACGACATGGGGCCAGAGATCCGCCGGGCCATATCATGTGACCTGCAGGAGGAGGGGCTAGTGGACGACGAGGACGAGGACATCTACAGAGTACGCCCCCCCGTTTGCTAGCTGCTTTTGTCAGTTGTAGTCCTTGTTTGCTAGCTGCTTCAGTCAGTTGTAGTCCTTGTTTGCTAGCTGCTTCAGTCAGTTGTAGTCCTTGTTTGCTAGCTGCTTTTGTCAGTTGTAGTCCTTGTTTGCTAGCTGCTTCAGTCAGTTGTAGTCCTTGTTTGCTAGCTGCTTTAGTGATTTGTAGTCCTGGTTTTTGCGAGCTGCTTTAGTAATTTGTAGTCCTTGTTGGCTAGCTCCTTCAGACATTTGTAGTCCTTGTTGGCTAGCTGCTTTGGGTATTTGTAGTCCTTGTTTTCTAGCTGATCAGTTGTAGTCCTGTATGCTAGCTGCTTCAGACATTTGTAGTCCTTGTTTGCTAGCTCCTTCAGACATTTGTAGTTCCTTGTCTGCTAGCTCCTTCAGACATTTGTAGTTCCTTGTTTGCTAGCTCCTTCAGACATTTGTAGTCCTTGTTTGCTAGCTCCTTCAGACATTTGTAGTCTTTGTTTGCTAGCTCCTTCAGACATTTGTAGTCCTTGTTTGCTAGCTCCTTCAGACATTTGTAGTTCCTTGTTTGCTAGCTCCTTCAGACATTTGTAGTCCTTGTTTGCTAGCTCCTTCAGACATTTGTAGTTCCTTGTTTGCTAGCTCCTTCAGACATTTGTAGTCCTTGTTTGTGCTCTCACTCCACAGAGGAATGGCGGACTCTTCGGGGACCACCTTAACCACCTGGACCAGGGCCAGGCCACCACCGTGACCCAGAGACCCCTGCAGATCCTGCCCTCCCCCCTGGACCTCACCCCCCCAGAGCTCGGGCCTCCCTCCCCCCTGGACCTCACCCCCCTGGACCTCACCCCCCCAGAGCTCGGGCCTCCCTCCCCCCTGGACCTCACCCCCCCTCCCCCCTCCCCCCTGCTGAACCACTACGGCCGCTCCCCCGTCCCGTCCAACGCCAACCTTAACAACGCCAACAGGGGGCAGCAGAGTGAGTCATCTGTGTGTGTGTTTGTATGTCTGTGCGTGTGTGTCTGTGCTCTGTGTTTAATGTTGTGTTGTTCTCTGTGTGATATTGTGTTGCTCTCTGTGTGTTTGTGTTGTTCTCTGTGTGATATGGTGTTGTTCTCTGTGTGATATGGTGTTGTTCTCTGTGTGATATGGTGTTGTTCTCTGTGTGATATTGTGTTGTTCTCTGTGTGATATGGTGTTGTTCTCTGTGTGATATTGTGTTGTTCTCTGTGTGATATTGTGTTGTTCTGTGTGTGATATTGTGTGGTTCTCTGTGTGATATTGTGTTGTTCTCTGTGTGTGTTTGTGTTGTTCTCTGTGTGATATTGTGTTGTTCTCTGTGTGATATTGTGTTGTTCTCTGTGTGATATTGTGTTGTTCTCTGTGTGATATGGTGTTGTTCTCTGTGTGATATGGTGTTGTTCTCTGTGTGATATGGTGTTGTTCTCTGTGTGATATTGTGTTGTTCTCTGTGTGATATTGTGTTGTTCTCTGTGTGATATGGTGTTGTTCTCTGTGTGATATTGTGTTGTTCTCTGTGTGATATTGTGTTGTTCTGTGTGTGATATTGTGTGGTTCTCTGTGTGATATTGTGTTGTTCTCTGTGTGTGTTTGTGTTGTTCTCTGTGTGATATTGTGTTGTTCTCTGTGTGATATTGTGTTGTTCTGTGTGATATTGTGTTGTTCTCTGTGTAATATTGTGTTATTCTCTGTGTGATATTGTGTTGTTCTCTGTGTGATATTGTGTTGTTCTGTGTGTGATATTGTGTTGTTCTGTGTGTGATATTGTGTTGTTCTCTGTGTGTTTGTGTTGTTCTCTGTGTGATATTGTGTTGTTCTCTGTGTGATATTGTGTTGTTCTGTGTGTGATATTGTGTTGTTCTCTGTGTGATATTGTGTTGTTCTCTGTGTGATATTGTGTTGTTCTCTGTGTGATATTGTGTTGTTCTCTGTGTGATATTGTGTTGTTCTCTGTGTGTGTTTGTGGTGGCAGGGCTCCTTCAGAGGGCCCGTCCCGCCTCAGTCCACAGCCGCTCCTCCCCCTACAGCCGCCTGAAGGACCAGGGCTGGAAGTCCCACTCCACCAGGTCAGTCCACTGTCATCCAGGTGTTTTTATTGTGAAACTGTCTCTTTAAATCCAGATATGATTCATTTAAGGATTAACCAATCAGAGGCCTTCATTCACGAGGGAAACGCTAGCTTGCCTTAACAAGCGTCATAGCGACAGGACTGCCTCCGTTGTGGTGCGAGGCTAACGCAACAAATGTCCATATAAGGAAATTGGCTCACTGTGGTGATGTCACACTCTGACACAAATAAGTCGCATTTCCACCGCAGGAACTTCGGGGTAATTTTCCAGGGCCAGCCCCGTCACTGCGTGTCCCCAGGACCCTCCCCCACAGGGCCATTTACAGGAACTTTTACGGGGCCCAACAGAGACCCTCCTCCATGCTAGGTACTCCGTTAGGGCCTGAATAGCTCCTGGGCGGGGCTTCAGGTTCACCGGGTGCTGATTGGCTAAAGCTAGAGCAGGCTCTGACATCATCAGAAAGCACCAAAACAACCTGCATTTGAAAAATCCGGCAGAATTAGCCTAGCAGCATTAGCCAAGCAGAATTAGCCTAGCAGCATTATCCTAACAGCATTAGCCTAGCAGCATTATCCTAACAGCATTATCCTAGCAGCATTAGCCTAACAGCATTAGCCTAGCAGCATTATCCTAACAGCATTAGCCTAACAGCATTAGCCTAGCAGCATTATCCTAACAGCATTATCCTAACAGCATTATCCTAACAGCATTATCCTAACAGCATTAGCCTAACAGCATTATCCTAACAGCATTATCCTAACAGCATTATCCTAACAGCATTAGCCTAGCAGCATTATCCTAACAGCATTAGCCTAACAGCATTATCCTAGCAGCATTAGCCTAGCAGCATTATCCTAACAGCATTAGCCTAACAGCATTAGCCTAACAGCATTAGCCTAACAGCATTAGCCTTACAGCATTATCCTAGCAGCATTAGCCTAGCAGCATTATCCTAACAGCATTAGCCTAACAGCATTATCCTAGCAGCATTAGCCTAGCAGCATTATCCTAACAGCATTAGCCTAACAGCATTATCCTAACAGCATTATCCTAACAGCATTATCCTAACAGCATTAGCCTAACAGCATTAGCCTAGCAGCATTAGCCTAACAGCATTAGCCTAACAGCATTAGCCTAACAGCATTAGCCTAACAGCATTAGCCTAACAGCATTATCCTAGCAGCATTATCCTAACAGCATTATCCTAACAGCATTAGCCTAACAGCATTAGCCTAACAGCATTAGCCTAACAGCATTAGCCTAACAGCATTAGCCTAACAGCATTAGCCTAACAGCATTATCCTAGCAGCATTATCCTAGCAGCATTAGCCTAACAGCATTATCCTAGCAGCATTATCCTAACAGCATTAGCCTAACAGCATTAGCCTAACAGCATTAGCCTAACAGCATTATCCTAGCAGCATTATCCTAACAGCATTAGCCTAACAGCATTAGCCTAGCAGCATTAGCCTAGCAGCATTAGCCTAACAGCATTAGCCTAACAGCATTAGCCTAACAGCATTAGCCTAACAGCATTAGCCTAACAGCATTATCCTAGCAGCATTATCCTAACAGCATTAGCCTAACAGCATTATCCTAACAGCATTAGCCTAACAGCATTAGCCTAACAGCATTAGCCTAACAGCATTAGCCTAGCAGCATTAGCCTAGCAGCATTAGCCTAGCAGCATTAGCCTAACAGCATTAGCCTAACAGCATTAGCCTAACAGCATTAGCCTAACAGCATTAGCCTAACAGCATTAGCCTAACAGCATTAGCCTAGCAGCATTAGCCTAACAGACACCACTGGAATCAGCAACAACAGAAAGGATAAATGGAGGGTTTGAGGCATCGCAGCGAAATGAAAAGTTTTATTGGAACAAAACAGCTTCACCTCAAACAATGCTGTGAAAAGTTAAAAGAACTGAAGCAGGACCATAAAAAACTCAAAGACCACAGCAACCGTAACGATTGATTAATCGATTGATTGATCGAGGGTCGCGGTCGAGGGTCGCGGTCGAGGGTCGCGGTCAAGGGTCGCGGTCGAGGGTCGCGGTCGAGGGTCGCGGTCGAGGGTCGCGGTCGAGGGTCGCGGTCGAGGGTCGCGGTCGAGGGTCGCGCTCGAGGGTCGCGGTCGAGGGTCGCGGTCGAGGGTCGCGGTCGAGGGTCGCGGTCGAGGGTCGCGGTCGAGGGTCGCGGTCGAGGGCCGCGGTCGAGGGTCGTGGTCGAGGGTCGCGGTCGAGGGCCGTGGTCGAGGGCCGTGGTCGAGGGTCGCGGTCGAGGGTCGCGGTCGAGGGTCGCGGTCGAGGGTCGCGGTCGAGGGCCGTGGTCGAGGGCCGTGGTCGAGGGTCGTGGTCGAGGGCCGTGGTCGAGGGCCGTGGTCGAGGGTCGTGGTCGAGGGCCGTGGTCGAGGGCCGTGGTCGAGGGTCGTGGTCGAGGGTCGTGGTCGAGGGCCGTGGTCGAGGGTCGTGGTCGAGGGCCGTGGTCGAGGGTCGTGGTCGAGGGTCGTGGTCGAGGGTCGTGGTCGAGGGTCGTGGTTGAGGGTCGTGGTCGAGGGCCAGGGTCGAGGGCCGTGGTCGAGGGTCGTGGTCGAGGGTCGTGGTCGAGGGTCGTGGTCGAGGGTCGTGGTCGAGGGCCGTGGTCGAGGGTCGTGGGTCGAGGGTCGAGGGTCGTGGTCGAGGGTCGTGGTCGAGGGTCGTGGTCGAGGGCCGTGGTCGAGGGTCGTGGTCGAGGGCCGTGGTCGAGGGTCGTGGTCGAGGGTCGTGGTCGAGGGTCGTGGTCGAGGGTCGTGGTCGAGGGTCGTGGTCGAGGGCCGTGGTCGAGGGTCGCGGTCGAGGGCCGTGGTCGAGGGCCGTGGTTGCGGTCGAGGGTCGTGGTCGAGGGCCGTGGTCGAGGGTCGTGGTCGAGGGCCGTGGTCGAGGGTCGAGGGCCGTGGTCGAGGGTCGTGGTCGAGGGTCGTGGTCGAGGGCCGTGGTCGAGGGTCGTGGTCGAGGGCCGTGGTCGAGGGTCGTGGTCGAGGGTCGTGGTCGAGGGTCGTGGTCGAGGGCCGTGGTCGAGGGTCGTGGTCGAGGGCCGTGGTCGAGGGTCGTGGTCGAGGGTCGTGGTCGAGGGCCGTGGTCGAGGGTCGTGGTCGAGGGTCGCGGTCGAGGGTCGCGGTCGAGGGTCGTGGTCGAGGGCCGTGGTTGCGGTCGAGGGTCGTGGTCGAGGGCCGTGGTCGAGGGTCGTGGTCGAGGGTCGTGGTCGAGGGTCGTGGTCGAGGGTCGTGGTCGAGGGCCGTGGTCGAGGGTCGTGGTCGAGGGTCGTGGTCGAGGGTCGAGGGTCGTGGTCGAGGGTCGAGGGTCGTGGTCGAGGGCCGTGGTCGAGGGTCGTGGTCGAGGGTCGTGGTCGAGGGCCGTGGTCGAGGGTCGTGGTCGAGGGCCGTGGTCGAGGGTCGTGGTCGAGGGTCGTGGTCGAGGGTCGTGGTCGAGGGTCGTGGTCGAGGGCCGTGGTCGAGGGCCGTGGTTGAGGGTCGTGGTCGAGGGCCGTGGTCGAGGGCCGTGGTTGCGGTCGAGGGTCGTGGTCGAGGGCCGTGGTCGAGGGCCGTGGTCGAGGGTCGTGGTCGAGGGTCGTGGTCGAGGGTCGAGGGTCGAGGGTCGTGGTCGAGGGTCGTGGTCGAGGGCCGTGGTCGAGGGTCGTGGTCGAGGGCCGTGGTCGAGGGCCGTGGTCGAGGGCCGTGGTCGAGGGTCGTGGTCGAGGGTCGTGGTCGAGGGCCGTGGTCGAGGGTCGAGGGTCGTGGTCGAGGGTCGTGGTCGAGGGTCGTGGTCGAGGGTCGTGGTCGAGGGTCGTGGTCGAGGGTCGAGGGTCGAGGGTCGTGGTCGAGGGTCGTGGTCGAGGGCCGTGGTCGAGGGTCGCGGGCCGTGGTCGAGGGTCGCGGTCGAGGGTCGTGGTCGAGGGCCGTGGTCGAGGGTCGTGGTCGAGGGTCGCGGTCGAGGGTCGAGGGTCGTGGTCGAGGGTCGAGGGTCGTGGTCGAGGGCCGTGGTCGAGGGTCGTGGTCGAGGGTCGTGGTCGAGGGTCGCGGGCCGTGGTCGAGGGTCGCGGTCGAGGGTCGTGGTCGAGGGCCGTGGTCGAGGGTCGTGGTCGAGGGTCGCGGTCGAGGGTCGCGGTCGAGGGTCGTGGTCGAGGGTCGTGGTCGAGGGTCGTGGTCGAGGGTCGAGGGTCGAGGGTCGTGGTCGAGGGTCGTGGTCGAGGGTCGAGGGTCGTGGTCGAGGATCGTGGTCGAGGGTCGTGGTCGAGGGTCGTGGTCGAGGGTCGAGGGTCGAGGGTCGTGGTCGAGGGTCGTGGTCGAGGGTCGTGGTCGAGGGTCGTGTGGTCGAGGGTCGTGGTCGAGGGTCGTGGTCGAGGGTCGTGGTCGAGGGTCGTGGTCGAGGGTCGTGGTCGAGGGTCGAGGGTCGAGGGTCGTGGTCGAGGGTCGTGGTCGAGGGTCGTGGTCGAGGGCCGTGGTCGAGGGTCGTGGTCGAGGGGTCGTGGTCGAGGGTCGTGGTCGAGGGTCGTGGTCGAGGGTCGTGGTCGAGGGCCGTGGTCGAGGGCCGTGGTCGAGGGTCGTGGTCGAGGGTCGTGGTCGAGGGTCGTGGTCGAGGGCCGCGGTCAGGGCCGCGGTCGAGGGCCGTGGTCGAGGGCCGTGGTCGAGGGTCGTGGTCGAGGGCCGTGGTCGAGGGTCGTGGTCGAGGGCCGTGGTCGAGGGTCGTGGTCGAGGGCCGCGGTCGAGGGTCGTGGTCGAGGGCCGCGGTCGAGGGTCGCGGTCGAGGGTCGTGGTCAAGGGCCGTGGTCGAGGGTCGAGGGTCGAGGGTCGTGGTCGAGGGTCGTGGTCGAGGGCCGTGGTCGAGGGTCGAGGGTCGTGGTCGAGGGTCGTGGTCGAGGGTCGAGGGTCGTGGTCGAGGGCCGTGGTCGAGGGTCGTGGTCGAGGGTCGTGGTCGAGGGCCGTGGTCGAGGGCGCGGTCGAGGGCCGTGGTCGAGGGCCGTGGTCGAGGGTCGTGGTCGAGGGTCGTGGTCGAGGGTCGTGGTCGAGGGTCGTGGTCGAGGGCCGTGGTCGAGGGTCGTGGTCGAGGGTCGTGGTCGAGGGCCGTGGTCGAGGGTCGAGGGTCGTGGTCGAGGGTCGTGGTCGAGGGTCGTGGTCGAGGGTCGTGGTCGAGGGTCGTGGTCGAGGGTCGTGGTCGAGGGTCGAGGGTCGAGGGTCGTGGTCGAGGGTCGTGGTCGAGGGCCGTGGTCGAGGGTCGTGGTCGAGGGCCGTGGTCGAGGGTCGTGGTCGAGGGTCGTGGTCGAGGGTCGAGGGTCGAGGGTCGTGGTCGAGGGTCGTGGTCGAGGGTCGTGGTCGTGGGTCGAGGGTCGTGGTCGAGGGTCGTGGTCGAGGGCCGTGGTCGAGGGTCGTGGTCGAGGGTCGTGGTCGAGGGTCGTGGTCGAGGGTCGTGGTCGAGGGTCGTGGTCGAGGGTCGTGGTCGAGGGTCGTGGTCGAGGGTCGAGGGTCGTGGTCGAGGGTCGTGGTCGAGGGTCGTGGTCGAGGGTCGAGGGTCGTGGTCGAGGGCCGTGGTCGAGGGTCGTGGTTGAGGGTCGTGGTCGAGGGCCGTGGTCGAGGGCCGTGGTCGAGGGTCGTGGTCGAGGGTCGTGGTCGAGGGTCGAGGGTCGTGGTCGAGGGTCGTGGTCGAGGGTCGTGGTCGAGGGCCGTGGTCGAGGGCCGTGGTCGAGGGTCGTGGTCGAGGGTCGTGGTCGAGGGTCGAGGGTCGTGGTCGAGGGTCGCGGTCGAGGGTCGTGCTCTGCACACAAACGAACATGGAATATTTTAAACTACGCGGTTAACCGGTTTAAACCGCTTAATGAGGCTCGGTGGGCGGTCATAAAAATTCATAGTTTTTTACATCCCTAGTTCTAACCATAGACTGTATATATTAACGGACAGAGTCACGTCTATCTCCGCCGTTCTAACTAAGAATTTGCTCTACTGGAGCTATCCAAAATGGCCACGAATGGTCCCGCCCACAAGAAATTTGTGAAAAAAACGCATCTCCGCCTGCATCAGCCGGCGAGAGCTCCATTCATTTAAACGAGTGACTTCTAAAGTCCACAGCGACTAAACTAGACTGGTCCAGAACACTCAGCATTGACACACATGTGGAACGGAGCTTTGGGCCAAGAGACAACTTTTGGACCATTCTGTAAAGACGTTTTCCAGAGGTCTGCTAATGCTACAGTGCCTTGCGAAAGTATTCGGCCCCTTGAACCTTTCAACATTTCGCCACATTTCAGGCTTCAAACATAAAGACATAAAAATTTAATTTTTTGTCAAGAATCAACAACAAGTGGGACACAATCGTGAAGTGGAACGAAATGTATTGGATAATTTAAACCTTTTTAACAAATAAAAAACTGAAAAGTGGGGCGTGCAATATTATTCGGCCCCTTGCGCTAATACTTTGTAGCGCCACCTTTTGCTGCAATTACAGCTGCAAGTCGCTTGGGGTATGTCTCTATCAGTTTTGCACATTGAGAGACTGGAATTCTTGCCCATTCTTCCTTGCAAAACAGCTGGAGCTCAGTGAGGTTGGATGGAGAGCGTTTGTGAACAGCAGTCTTCAGCTCTTTCCACAGATTCTCGATTGGATTCAGGTCTGGACTTTGACTTGGCCATTCTAACACCTGGATACGTCTATTTGTGAACCATTCCATTGTAGATTTGGCTTTATGTTTTGGATCATTGTCCTGTTGGAAGATAAATCTCTGTCCCAGTCTCAGGTCTTTTGCAGACTCCAACAGGTTTTCTTCCAGAATGGTCCTGTATTTGGCTCCATCCATCTTCCCATCAATTTTAGCCATCTTCCCTGTCCCTGCTGAAGAAAAGCAGGCCCAAAGCATGATGCTGCCACCACCATGTTTGACAGTGGGGATGGTGTGTTCAGGGTGATGAGCTGTGTTGCTTTTACGCCAAACATATCGTTTTGCATTGTGGCCAAAAAGTTTGATTTTGGTTTCATCTGACCAGAGCACCTTCTTCCACATGTTTGGTGTGTCTCCCAGGTGGCTTGTGGCAAACTTTAAACCAGACTTTTTATGGATATCTTTGAGAAATGGCTTTCTTCTTGCCACTCTTCCATAAAGGCCAGATTTGTGCAGTGCACGACTGATTGTTGTCCTATGGACAGACTCTCCCACCTCAGCTGTAGTTATCTGCAGTTCATCCAGAGTGATCATGGGCCTCTTGGCTGCATCTCTGATCAGTCTTCTCCTTGTTTGAGATGAAAGTTTGGAGGGACGGCCGGGTCTTGGTAGATTTGCAGTGGTCTGATACTCCTTCCATTTCAATATAATTGCTTGCACAGTGCTCCTTGAGATGTTTAAAGCTTGGGAAATCTTTTTGTATCCAAATCCGGCTTTAAACTTCTCCACAACAGTATCTCGGACCTGCCTGGTGTGTTCCTTTGTCTTCATGGTTCTCTCTGTGCTTTAAACAGAACCCTGAGACTATCAAAGAGCAGGTGCATTTATACGGAGACTTGATTACACACAGATGCATTCTATTATCATCATCAGTCATTTAGGACAACATTGGATCATTCAAAGATCCTCACTGAACTTCTGGACTGATTTGCTGCACTGAAAGTAAAGGGGCCTATTAATATTGCACGCCCCACTTTTCATAGTTTTTTTTT